CCCGCGCCCCGGAGCAGCGCCACAAAGGGCCCGCGCGCAGCCGCCGCCGCCGCCGCCGCCGCGCGAGGAGCCAGGATGGTCCTGGTCCACGTCGGCTATCTCGTGCTTCCAGTGTTTGGCTCTGTGCGAAACAGAGGTATCGCTTTTTCCTTTCGGGGTCTGCTTCCTTCCGAGCGTGGATCGCCGCAGGCACTGGGCGGGGGCGGGCGCGGCGGGCGGGGGCGCAAGCAGAGCTCGGGGAGACCAGCAGTGCGGCTCCCCACCCCTTCTGGGGAGACCCCCGGGTGTCGGGTGGCACCCTCGCGGGAGCTTTTGTAGCGAAGTTAGGCTTTGGTGAATTTGGGTCCCTACCTCCCCAGCCCCATTTTTTTAAAAATTATTATTCTTTGCGGCGGACGTGGTTCCTCCAAATCACAGCCCCTTCCCCCTAATACCTGGCCCTGTGTGATCGAAAGAAGGCGAGAGATACATGACCGTGCGTGTGTGTGTGCGTGTGTGTGTGTGTGTGTGTGTGTGTGTGTGTGTGTGTGTGTGAGAGAGAGAGAGAGAGAGAGAGAGAGAGAGAGAGAGAGATTTTGCGATTTGCTTTTTATTTTTTGAGGTACATGTGTGTTACATGTTTTATATTCATTTTTGAGGCCTTCATGCCGATGGCTGGTTAACTGGGATCTGGGTATCTGTCCCATCCCATGCCCTAGCCCCTACCCTCTCCTGGATACTTGAACGTTTCCCACCCCATCCATCCTTTTCTCCCTTTTAACCCTTTTTGTTCTATTGCCCTTATTCCGTGGTCCTGCTCACCTCGCTCCCCGCAATTGTCTTTGTATACGACAGTTGCATTTACAGGTTCAAGATGCTTGTGTGTGTGTGTGTGTGTGGTGTGCGCGCGCGCGCGCGCGCGCGCGGGTACGCGCCTCGGAGATCAGACGTGCGCTGCCTAGCACCCCTGGGCCGGTCCGGAGCGGGTTGCCTGGCCCACCGGTGTTGCGCTGTGGGAGAGAACGAGGTGGGAAGCTGCCCCCGCGCCAGGCCTTTGCCCCGGGCAGCGGTTGACCAAGCAGCAGGCTGGCGCGGTCTTTGTTTTTAACTGTGGTATATGGGGTGTGTTTGCACGGTCCCCTTTCCCCACATCCCCTTTTCCTTACATTCCCCTACAACAATAGCTTGGTTTTCCCCTCTTCTCCCCCCACCCCACATTTCTTCCATTTTCTTTTAATCAAAAATTCCCACCTCCCAAAGCAAATCCGAGCTGCATTTCAATTCATTTTTTTTTTTTCCTTTTTGTATTCTGCCTCTGGACTCACATTTCTCTTCTTGGAAATGTTTCTTCTCTCCCACTCCACGTCTGCTTAAATCCCTGCTGGCTAAGGCCCTCCTCCCTTACCCCTCCCTCACTAGAATGATGTCTTCCCTTGGCCGACCTGGCTTGTCCTTCGAGTCGGGGCGAGGGGGGGGTCGCCAGGGCCAGCGCTTTAGTGCGCCCCAGGGGCCCGACTGGGCCAGGCCAGGAAAGCCCAGCCCTCCTTCACCCAAGCTGTCCCCAGCCCTCTGCCTCTCCCCAGAACCCAAAAGGCAAGGTTGGCCCCTTAGGCCTGTTTGAACCGCAGTTTTTTTGTGTGATGATAGAATGATGACATTCTGCATTTATCAAATCTTTTTTTTTCTTCATTGTGTAGCTCAGTGAATGGTCAACTCGCTGCTGTGTGCGCTGTGACCCTTCTGCCTCCGCATTTAGCTGTATTGTGACACCCCTCTTAACCATTTCCTGTCTCCATCCGAGGAAGGCATTGCTATTTAAGCGGCAGTATCCCCTATCTCAGGCCAGCCTAGTGTGTGTCGGGGGGGCAGGGTACGAAGGAGAGGGGCTGCATGAGATCTCCTTGAAATGCCATCCCCATCCCCAATACACAATTATCTCTTATTACTTGGCATTTCCTCTTAAAAACGGGTGTGGAACATTACACCAGGCAGAAATTCAAAAATGATTAAGAAGGATGTTGAGCCTGAAAGTATAATTATCCTGATTAAATCATTATCATCCTTATTAATACTACCAATCTCTAAATACCATTGCAGCATGCGGGTTCAGTGTTTTGAAATTCAAATTGTTCAGCTGCCTTTACATTTTATTTTTAATAGCACTCCCCTCCTCCAACAAAATTCCAGTAAAACCAATTCTGCCCATCAGAATTGCAGTAACAAACTTTCATGGCAAATGTGTCCACAGGAAAATTAGGGCTGAGGGGTGAGTTGGGCTATGGGTGAAATTTAGCACAAAGTGCTAAGAACACATGACCTTCTGATAGAGGATACTAATGCTTAACTCAACAAAGTCCTAAACCATAATCTTCTTGTAAAACTATTAGATAGTCTGCTAGCTTAAACCTGTTCTTTTAGTTTCCATTGTAGTAGTGTAGGATGTAGGCCATTTCAGACTAGATATAGAGAAATAACCATTTTTGTATCTTCATCTTGTTTAGCCGAGTACATTGCACTGTAAATCCCTGTTAAGTGGATTCCTTTTGCCTTGGCTTGGAGGCTGTAGCAGCCCATTTTTCACTTGTCTGGGTGGCCATCAGCTGGCCTTCTGGCAGCACCCAGGCATAACTGAAGATTACAGTTGGAGGCAAAATTTATTAAATATATATTAAGAAGAAAATCTTTGTTGTAAAAACAGTGGCTGCTATTGTTCCAGCCCCTGGAAATTTGGTGCACCAAGGTCCCTGGCTTAAGGGGAGCTATGGCTATAGGGTCTTAATTGTTCAATTGTCCAATGTCAAGAGCATCTTTGGACATCTGCCCTGGCCCTCAGAGCTGCCACTTTAACAGCCGGCTCCCTTCTGCTGCCTGGCCAGCCAGACCTGCTTGAACACTGAAACAAAACAGCAGCAATCATGAAAGAATAAGGCCCCCACTTCCAGGGACCTTCCAAAATACAGTCCCAAGTAGCCTCCCCAGAATGCTATTTGGCAATCTGAAAAGGAGAAAAATGAAAAGAAAAGAAAAAAAAGAAAAAAGAAAAACCTCAGCAAAATGGTTTTCCATTAAACAGGGGTAGCGTGTTCTGCTGTGCTGAATTACTTCCTGTTCTTATTTTGTGGGTAATTTTTTCTGTATCGAATATCCTTTTGGTTGTGTATCTTTTTCACCTTTTCTTGTACTAAAACTAAAGCATGATCTGTATTTTTTTACATCCCCCAGTTGACAATGTACAGCGCTCGGTTAGAGATGTTACCCTGCTGAACCGTACTGTGGTCGTGTAGCCCGGGCCATCTGCTCATTGTACGCTGCTGCTTTTGTTCTGTTGCCCTTCTGAAGCATTTTTAGCCTTTTGCTTTTTTTTTTTTTTTTTTTTTTTTTCTTTCTTTTTGTATCGTGTGCATGATGACATTGTTACATACAGAATCCACTAATACTAATATACAATCTCTCAATAAAGAACTAGTTTTCCTATATTAACCTAGTGTGCTTTTTCTCTTGCTGTTTTCCCATTTATTGTCGTATCCTGCTGTTTAGATCGCCCCTTGCTTTTCTATCCTCAACCTCACCCACCCACCACCCCCACTTCCCATTGTAAGATTTGAGTGAATGCCTTTTCTTTTACTTTCCTTTTTTTCTTTCCTCTCTCTCTCTTTCTTCTTTTTTGTGATATGGATATGGTGACTCTCTGTGGTCCATATCTTTTAACAATAGAAGCCTGGGGCCATGGGAGGGGTCAGTTGCCCTGTCACCTGAAACAGCTCACCTGCATAGACATCCTCTGTGTTTGGCTACCTGTGTACTCAGTACCTTCCACATTTCATCTTAGTTTTTAAGTTACAAGGTACTGGGTTTATGAAAGGAAGGGGAAATCACATTTAGGTTGAGAAAAGGGATACTGTACTTAACTAGCAATCTTGTAGCATCGATTCACCTGAAAAACTCATTTGGAGTTGTGTTTTAACTTTTTGTTCACTGTCTCATTTATTTACTGTCCTTATAAATCATGCTGGGGGTGACATGTGACATGTAGTTAAAACCATAATCCGAGGCACTAAAGCACCCTCTTTTATATGAATATTTAAATTCTTGAGACCTGCAATGTAGGTTTGGCATTTAGATCCTGGATAAGAAAGATGCTTGGAATGGAAGCCCCTGAGACCGAGACCCCTCCCCATCCCGGGGCTGGCAGCCCCACCTGGTACTGTAGGAATAAGAGCCTGTGCCTTCTGTGGGCTGTAAGCCAGTTAAAGCTGATTATAGCCTGCTTGCCTGACAGCTGCTTCATCTGTGGCCCTAGGGCCTCTCTGGGGAGAAAGCAAACCAGATCTGGCCTTGTTTAAGTGTGTGTGTTGGGGTGGGGGTGGGGAAGTCAGGAGGGTAGTCAGGACCTATGTTCAAATTGAATTGCAAGAAGAACCCTTAGAAGCATCTTTTTTTCTCTTCCTGTAATTGCTCTGGAGAAGGCAGTAGAGAGGTACTTTTTGTCCCCAGAGTGGAACCCAAATTCAAGCATTTGTCAATTACATCTATTCAGTTTCAGCTCAGAACAAGCCTTGCTAAATGAGGCGTTTTAGACACCAGAGGAAATCAGTTGATTAAAGAAATTCATGGTCCCTTCAAGAGGTCATCATTTTGAAGCTGTTTCTCTTGGCCGCTGTGCCTTGTCCTGGCTCCTCTAGGCTGTCTCCTGGACAGGCCTCTGATGCTCCCTTGGTAGGGAGTCAGGCTGGGAGGCTCACTGCTGCTGACCACTTTGCTTCCTTGCCTTCTTTGTGGCCTCCTGCGACCCACCCCCCAAGGGCTGCCCTCTGGCTCTGGCCCTTTGTTCTCAAGCTCTTTCCAGCCAGAGTGGGAAAACTGAGCTGCTTCACTGTGACACATGGTCACACATGGATGTTCCTGGCGGAGGCTTGTGCTGTGGGGTATTTTCAAGAGCAGATATGCAGGTCTATGAGGCCAGACCTTTGAAGGCTATCTGGTTTCTTTTTCTTAATTTTTTGACTTTTGATTTATATGGGACTTAAGTTTGGTAAAGCAAAATAGTGCCCCCACACAACCTCAACAGCAATCAAATCAAATTGGGTGAACATCCTCATGTTTTTTCTGATGATTAGGTAATATTAACGAACTCTAAGGTTTTATTTTTCTAAGTTA